AGGTGTTTGTTGACCTTGAGTTGATCATCTTTGGAGGAATGTTTATTCAGGACCCTTCTCCATGCGGACCCTACATCCCTTTCAATATATCATTGGCAAATATTCCCCCCATTCTGTGGGGTGTTTTTCACTTCCGATAATGCCCCTTCAGGCACAAGCTTCTAGTTTTGAGGAAGTCCTGTTTACCTATTTATTCCCCTTTTGTTTCTTGAACTTTTAGTGTCATATCTAAGAATCCAGTCTCTAATCCAAGGTCATGAAGACTACTCCTGCGGTTTTTTCTCAGTTGTATAGTTTCAGCTGTTATTTGGTCTTTGATTGACTTTGACTTACATTTTGTATATGGTATAAGGAAAGGGTTCCATTCATTCCTTTGCATGTGGCGCCCAGTTGTCCATTTGTTGAAGACACTATTCTTTCCTTATGTTTTGAACGTATGTATTTATTGTTCTAAAATGACACATAATAATTGTACAGTGTGATGTCTCAGTACATATATACTTTTGTAATGATTAGGTGATCTTTCCTATTGAATTTTCTTCACACCATGTGAAAATCCTTTGCCCCACATGGATACACTTATTTTGGGACATTCAATCTGTTCTGTTGACTTATATGTGTATTTTCATGCCAGTGGCATGCTGTGTTGATTACCGTAGCTCTGTAGTAGTTTTGAAATAGGGAAATTAGTCCTGTAAGTTTTTCTTTTTCAGTATTGTTTTGGTTATTTAAGGTCCCTTGAAATTGCATCTGAATTTTAGGATCAGTTCTATCTCTGAACAAAAAATCGTTGTTGGGATTTTGATAGGGATTTCATAGAATCTGTGGATTGGTTTGGGAGTATTGCCGTCTTAACAATATTAAATCTTTCAATCTATGAACATAGGATGTCTTTGCATTTGTTTAGGTTTTCACTGATTGTTTTCAAAAATGTTTTGTATTTTTCAGTGTATAAGTCTGTCTTGGGCCTCCTTGGTAAACATTATTATTATTATTTCATTCTTTTTTAAATTGACACATTTTGGATACATACTAATTGTACACATTTATGGGGTATAGTGCAGGGTTCCAGTGCATGTATATTTTGTGTAATAATCAAATCAGGGCATTCAGCGTATCCATCACCTCAACATGATTGTATCTTTGTGGTGAGGACATTCAAAATTCTCTCTTCTAGCTATTTTGAAATATATAGTACAATACTGTTAATTGTATCCAACCGCCTGTGCTGTAGAACACCGAAACTTCTCTCTCCTGTCTCTACCGTTTTACCAGTTGACCAGTCACCCCTATATCTCCTCCTCACTACACTCCCTAACTCTGGTAGCCCCCATTCTACTGTCTACTTCTATGAGATCAACTTTTCAAGATTCCATGTGCAAGTGGGATCCTCTGGTGTTTGTCTTTCTCTGACTTATTTCACCTAACATAATGTCTGCCAGGCCATCCACATTGCTGCAAATGACAGGATTCCATTCTGTTTTTAAGACTGAATAAGATTTCATTTTGTGTAATATATAGACCACATTTTCTCTATTTACCCATTGATGAACACAGGTTCAAGTCCATAGTTTGGCTATTGTGATTAGTGTTGCCATAAACATGGGGGTACAGATATCTCTTCAACTTACTGATTTTCTCTCATGTTGTCAATTGTTTCCTTTGCTGTATGGAAGGTTGTTAGTTTTCTGTAAACCCATTTGTCTATTTTTGCTTTTGTTGCCTGTGCCTTTCAGATATTATCTGAAAAATCCTTGCTAGACCAATGTCCTGAGCACTTCCCCTGTTGTCTTCTAGTTGTCTCTATCGTTGTGGGTCTTTCATTTAGGTCTGTAATAAACCTTGAATTGATTTTTGTATATAGTGAGAGGCAGGAGTCTAGTTTCATTCTGCATGTGGATATCCAGTGTTCTCAGCACCATTTGTTGATGAGACTGTCCTTTTCCCAATGTGTATTCTTGGCACCTTTGTTAAAAATCAGGTGACTGTAAGTGCATGGATTTATTTATCTTCTCTCTCTGTTTCACTGGCCTATGTGTCTATTTTCATATCAAGTACCATGCTGTTTTGGTTACTATAGTTTTGTAGTATACTTTGAAATCCAGTAATGTGATGCCTTCAGCTTTGGTCTTTGCCGGCACACCGACAAATATTGCGAAAACTTACGCCAACTAAATGTAACAGAAATCTGAACAGAGCTATAAAAGTAAAGGAAATAAATCAGTAAACAAAAACCTCTGACAAAGAAAAGCCCAGCACAGTATCCTCACTTCAACTACCTCAGAATGAGGAAAACAAAATAAACAAATAAAACAGGAATAATTTCAATTGAATGCAGAACAAGCCATTTGCAAAATCCAAAACAGAAGCTGTCAGATAAAGCCATTCAACAAACATAGACAGAAAGAAAACTTCCATCCAAGTCCTAAAAGAACATCTTATTATAAAACCACCAACTTACATCAAATACTCAATGAGAAAAACTGAAAGCTTACCCATTGAATAAGACAAGAACAATATACAACTTTTTTCCACCATTTCTACTCAACATCTACTGCAAGTCTGCAGAGAAATGTAGGCAAAGAAAAAGAATAAAAAAGCATGCTGTATTGGAAGGAAGAAGGAAAACCTATCTGTAATTCACAGGTACATGATCTTAACTATAAAAAATCCTACAGAATCCACCAAAATCTATTAAAGCCCATGAAAATTTCCCCAGGAAAAAAGAGGGCCAATTAAAAAATAGTTGCATTCATAATTCACTATGAATAAGAATAAAGAAGACCCCAAGAAATATCAAAGCAACCTGAGCAAG